TCCACCGCCACCGCCACCACAACCACCACCACCACCACCACCACAACCACCACCAGCACCAGCCCCAGCACCACCACCAGCACCACCACCACCACCACCACCACCACAACCACCACCACCACCACCACCACCACAACCACGCACACACGCACGCACGCACGCACGCGCACCACCACCCACTACGCACGCGCGCGCGGAGCCACAGGTCCGCTACGACGCGCGTCCGCGGATAGAGAAAATCAGCGCCATGGTAAGGGGTGGGAGGGAGGGGTAGGACGTCAGATATGACGTCAGATATGACGCGGCACTTTATCACCTACCGCCACGACTGGCGACGACGGAACTAGGACCAACTTACCTTTCTCGAAGCGAGACGACGTTGCAACGTGCTGGATCACCAGCTTCGGCTGGGAGCTGAAACAAATATCAAGATCACGGGAATGGCAGCCACTCCATACTTGCGAGAGGCATGCCTTGACCAAGGCGCGGGCCTGCTCCTGCAACATCAACTTGGAGTCCTCGCGCTGGGGGGGGGGGGGGGGATGAAGGGGCGGGGGGAGAGGAGGAGGAGGAGGAGGAGGAGGAGGAGGAGGAGGGGGGGGGGGGGGGGGGGGAAAGAGGAGGAGGGGTGGGGGGAGGAGGTGAAGGAATAAGAAGGAGCAGAAAGTGGGTTATGATAAGTAAGAGGGGGAGAATGAGCTGACCGAAGAGAAGGAGGAGGAGGAGGGGGGGGAGGGGAGGAGGAAGAGCTTAGCAAGCGGTCCGCAGGGCTCGGGTAGTCGCCAAGGTTGGCCACGAGCGTCTCCTTCTCAGCAATCACCTGGGCTCAGCGCAGCACGCCCTCCTCCTCCTCCTCTTCCTCCTCCTCCTCCTCTTCCCCCTCCCTCTGAGGGCTCCAAGAACATTCAACTATTCCGGTCTTGTTTGGCTTTTCGGGCCTCCCCCCATCCCCCCTCCTGCCCCTGATAGCTTCAAACGCCATCAAACATCTACGATTTTGTTTTGATCTGTCTGGTCTCACCTCCATCCCCCCTCCTCCTCCTCCTCGTCGTCCTCCTCCTCCTCCTCCCCCTTCCCCTCCTCCTCCTCCTCCTCCTCCGCCCCCTCTTCCTCCTCCTCCCCCCCCTCGCCGCCGTTATCGTCGTCGTGATTCTCATCGTCATCGCCATGACCTTGAAAGTGTCGGCCACCGCGCCAGGCGCGACGCTCTGCTTCTTCCTGGAGTCGAGCTGGCGCACGATGCTGGCCTTGCCGTCGGCGATGGAGGCGACGACGTACTTATCCCCCGTGTCCTTGGCGTCGCGGCCCACGGCGACGCAGCCCTCGACGCAGCCCATCTGCGCGAGGGCGCTCGCCGAGAGCCCCGAGTCGCCGAACTCCGCGAAGCCAGACCCCGACTTCGAAGGCCCTGCAGGCGACTCACGCTGAGGCTTGAAAGGCACCCCCCCTCGTGGTTCTGCAGCGCAGGGATCTTGGAGTAGAGGTCGCCCGGGAAGGCCAGCTCGACGGCCCTCAAAGATTCGAAAGTCTTTCGAGCTGGCGCACTCTTCTTATGAGTGCACATCACACACCGCACTTCGAGGCCCCAAACCAAGGACATTGCAGTCTGGCGAGGCACCGCGTCCTGCACCTCCTCCAGAAGGTAAGTCCTCGCTGCCTTCATCATGGCAGCCGCTGCCAGACACTCGACCTTGTGCTCGCCAGTTGTCGTCGCTAAGTCAGCAGAGGATAGCAAGCGGCTGCATTTATCCTTGACGTAGTTGTCGGGGCACGTCATCATCGCCTTCACCGCCGCCACAATGCGCTCCGCTCCCTGGGTGAATGGGGTCGAAGCGATGCACTTCCACAAGCCCGCGGGAACCGAGCGCCTGACGCGAAGGCTGCAGCTGAACTCCTCGAGGTCGTTGAGGTAGGGGCCCTCCTCGCCGCCGCTCCACTTCTGGACGAAGTCGCACGCGCCGCCAAGCGCGTCAACCATGTTCGGGCGATCACGCTCGATGTCCTTCCTGATGTTGTCGGAGCTGGCTGTCCCATGGAGCGCGATGCTGCGCTTGGTCCGCTGGAAAATCAGCAGCGGCAGCTGCGCGTCAGTAGTGTCCTGCATGACGGTGTTCCTCTTGTTGAACGCGTCCTGGAGAAAGTACACCAGCCGAGGGCACGCCTTGTCGACCTCGTGCTTGGGGATCCTCCACTTCATCCCTCGCGTCAGAGGGTCCGCGTATGAAGGGCAGAACGCCACGACAGCATCCTCCGTCAAGTTCCCCTCGCTGTTGGCCACGTGGGAGAGCCACTGGTCGTTCGCCTTGCACTCGTACATGATGGAGAGCAAACCTCCGTTGGCATGGCTCCCTGCGAAGGTCAAACAACGAATGTCCGCCCGAGGCGGCATCCTCAACATGCCCCCAGACGCGGCGGTCAAGGCCTCCTGGAACTCCACCTGGGCCTCGTAGGTGTCCTGGTCCGCAGCAACTTCAACTGCGCAATTGAGCGTGTCCCCATGAGAAAAGCCATTGTGCATGATGTTGCTGTGAAGCTTGTGGCAATCATGAGCGCCCACTCCCTGCCCGTGCCTGTTCCCGGTGGAGCACCCCAGGCGCTGAGGCTCCACCCGCTCCCACTATACGAAACTTTTCGCCTCCAACATGCCCGGGATGTTGGTGGCTGCCGACTTCTTCTGCTTCCTGTCGGTATCCTCGCTGAGCATCGCGGCAACAGTGTTGTTGATCTGCTCGGCCATAGCACGGAGGGCCGATTCCATCTCAGGGGTGAGCGTTTTTTTTTCAACGGTAGAGCAAGCCATCGCCTGGAAGGCGAAGGGAGCTCAGAAGCTGACACGTGAACCAACGCGGCTCTGCCACGACGACGACGACGCCGACGATGACAGCAGCCGCCATCGGTATCACACGCCTCACAAAAACTATCCCCTCATCCTCATATCCTGCTCTCCCTCGCTCTTCTTGGGTCTCAGCATGTTCCAATTTCCGATGTCCGAATGCTCCAGAACCTACGGAGGCCAGATGCTTTGTAATGGAAAAGCGACTGCGCTCCCTTTAAATCAAGCATGCTCTTCCTCAAGAATCACAATGCGGAGCCAGAAATCAGACTACCTCCTACAGTCGCCAGGGGCCTGCAGTGCCCTTGCTAAATTAATTAGCTAACCTGGTTCGGGGGAGGGGTAACATAGTTGCTAACCTAGTTAGCTAACCTGGTTAGGGGGAGGGGTAACCTAGATAGCTAAACGGCTAGCAGAGCCTAATATCTTCATGCTGGCTTTTAGTAAACGCGCTACTAACTACAAAGAGCGTCTGATGTGCCAGCACCGAAGATACATAAACCCGCGATACACATAGCAATGTTGATATCATGTTGCGTGAGATGCGCGTACTTATACGAACATATAACTATTATATAGTTGTTTACATCTGGTTTATTATATGATTATATCCCAGCGATCTACTAAGCACCCTGAAGATTCAAGTGCCCCCGCGAGCGGCGACCGCCAGGATGGCGGGAACTGGGATTTTGGAGAGATCGAGCCTGGAAAGGCTCGAAATCTCCGTTCCCGGCTCTGTCGGGCGCCCAGCCCGGGTTACCCTCTTTGTCCCCCTGTGTTTCTCTATGTCCCTCTGTATTTATGTGTCTCTCTGTGTCCCTGTGTTTCTCTGTGCCCTCTGTGTCCCTCTATGTCACTCTGTGTCCCGCTGTGTCCGTGTCTATATGTGTCCCTCTGTGTCCTTCTGTGTCCCTTTGTGTCTCTCTGTGTCTCTCTGTGTCTCTCTATGTCTCTCTGTGTCTCTCTGTGTCTCCCTGTGTCTCTCTGTGTCTCTCTGTGTCTCTCTGTGTCTCTCTGTGTCTCTCTGTGTCTCTCTGTGTCTCTCTGTGTCTCTCTGCGTCTCTCTGTGTCTCTCTGTGTCTCTCTGTGTCTCTCTGTGTCTATCCGTGTCTCTCTGTGTCTCTCTGTGTCTCTCTGTGTCTCTCTGTTTCTCTCTGTGTCCCTCTGTGTCTCTCTGTGTCTCTCTGTGTCTCTCTGTGTCTGTGTCTCTGTGTCTCTCTGTGTCTCTCTGTGTCTCTCTGTGTCTCTCTGTGTCTCTCTGTGTCTCTCTGTGTCGCTCTGCGTCTATATGTGCTCTCTGTGACTATCTACGTAGTTTTCGCTGATTGCGTTTTCGCTTGAACGAACAAGCTTTTCGCTTGAACAAGCATCTTTTCGCTTGAACGATCTACCCTCGGCTCCAAGAAGCTCCCCCGAGGCACCCAAAACGATCCAGGAGGGCCCCAGGTCCGCCTTGAGGCCCCCAAGCCAAGATGCCCCAAGAAAACTTCAAGAAGCTCTCAAAAATCATCCGAAGAATCTCCGAAAGTCATCCAAAAAACATCTGGCCTTTCTGCTCGCCCTCCTCCTCCTCCTCCTCCTCCTCCTCGCCCAGATTCCTCATCCGCATCTCCCTCGTCGTATCTCGTCCGTCCTCCCATCCCATCCCCCTCGTACCCTTCCTCCCCCGATTCATCCTCCAACCTCCCGCCTTGACGGCTTCACCAACACCTTATTCCACTGCATGCTCCTCCACAGCACTGATCAGGGCAACTCGCCTGGGTATCGTTTCTGGATGGGCTGGTGGGGTTTGGCGGAACGTCTAGAATATCGGAGAACCATCCGTCTTGATTTTGTCATGACTCGACGGGGTCCAGGTTCTGGCCACTACCGCAACACACCGAAGTGCTTGCTTAACCCCCCTCCGGCCTGCGGGCCGCAGCCCCTGACCCAAACCACAAGGGAACAAATCCTCTGATGGCCGCTCCTGGTCGCCTTCGCGAGCCGGCGCGTGCAAGGCTACGACTTTGCAGCGCAGAGAGGAGGAGGAGGAGGAGGAGGAGGAGGAGGAGGAGGAGGAGGAGGAGGAGGAGGAGGAGGAGGAGGAGGAGGAGGAGGAGGAGGAGGAGGAGGAACGGCTACTAGCAACAGCCAGGGAATCTGGGGAGTTCGGACAAAGCCCAGGCACCATCGCCCACCCGAGCCTCGGCTGGCGCCGCTGCGCGCCTCCGGGCCTCTGCCAGGCGCGCCAGCGCTGGCGCGCCGAGCAGCGGCGGCAACTCGTCGTCCCCGAGCGCCCTGGCGCAGCAGGGGCAGGTGAGCCGGAGCGCGCCCTGGTCCGACGCCTCCGCGCCCGCCGGCCCGCCCACCCGGGCGCAGGAGGAGCCAGAGTAGCGGAGCGAAAAGGGAGGGAGGGAGGGAGGGAGGGAGGGAGGGAGGGAGGGAGGGAGGGAGGAGGAGGAGGAGGAGGAGGAGGAGGAGGAGGAGGAGGAGGAGGCGCCCTCTTTCGTCATCGCATTGGCCCTCCGTGCCCAACTCTCTGGGCTGGGTCGGCATCTGCGCCGCCCTCGCCCGCAGAGGAGTTGCAGAGTTGCAGATAACGACGCCGCGTCGAGATGCCGCGGCGCCGCGGCTAAAGCATGCGGCGGACGGCCGCACTGGAGTCAGATGACCCCAAGGAGGAGGTAGATCTGCGGCAGGGGCAGGCCGAACTCGTCCACCAGGCGATCGCAGAATGCGTGTTGTAGGACCCGTACGAGTTACCAGTAACGGCGTGTGTTCCAGGACCCGTACGAGTTACCAGTAACGGCGTGTGTTCCAGGACCCGTAAGAGTTACCAGTAACGGTGCCGCCTCCATCCGACGGGCGAGCCTCCACCAATGCAGAGGAGTGGCGATACTGGGTGGAGGGATCAGCCATCTCTGGTCACCCACTTCAACTTCGGCAGGAGGACCTCGCTGTCGTGGTGGTAGGCCTCGTTGTACCCGACTTATCGCTTTGGGCTGGTTGCGCAACGTCAATGGGTTGGACGATGGACCGAGGCACGGCCGTCTCGGCTTCCTCGCATCGGCAGGGCAAAACACATCGCACGTACCAGCGCAACGTTCACAACAGTAAACGTCGTTGACCTCAAAGACGATGTGGCCCAGTTCTTCCAGCGCAGTATTTAGACCATCTGCTTCGGCGTCGATGATCTTGTCATCGATCGCCGCCACGGCCTCGTCAGACGGACCATCCTCCTCCTCGGCAACATCCCGAGGGCCACCAAGATCGGCAGCGGCGGGCAGCTCATCAGCGTGTCCAGCCGCCTCGTCCTCACGGTGCGCCCCACGATGGGGGTCGCGCCCAGGCTGCCCGCCGTCCTGCGTCTCCAGACGAGCACCAGCGAGCCCACCAAGTGCCAGTGCCACTCGCTCATCTTCCACAGGCCTCCATGTGCGAAGCGTCTGTTTGAAGAACGCTTCCGCCATGGCCGAGACAACGCTGGTCGGTCGGCATTGTCTCGCCGATCCCGACCGCAGCGTGGCAAGTGACGACCGTGTAGTGGCCGTCGCGTTGGACCGCCTGCACCAGAAGTGCCCGTCCTCGACGCAGCGCCAAGGAACGCGGTCGTCGGCCCGCTCGAAGACGACGGGCGCGCGGTGCTGGGAGAAGGGCTTCGGCATCTCCTGGCCATTGCCAAACCTCTTGAGCGCCGCAACCCGAAGAAACGCCTGGGCGAAGTACTGCAAGACCAGCCCGCGCTGTTTCAGGGCAGCCCTTACAAACTCAGCAGCGACGCGAGCAGCCGCGCGTTGCGCCGCACCCAGGCGGGCGAAGTAGCCTGCCCAAGCACGATGGGCTGGGGTCCAGCGGGGCACAGGAGCGCCCATCAGAGATCGCTTCCTCGCCGTATGTCCCGCCAGACGCGCGCATGCTTCGCCCTCGCGCTCATGAGATCGGAGCTCCAGGCCATGGCCTCATCCACTAAGCCTCGAAGATCAGCGACGATCTTAAGACGGTCGGGGTGGAGCTCCAGGGCGAGCTTCACCGCATAACGTTCCGCCCTTCGAACCGTCTGCACGAGGTAAGGGGAGCGGCCAATAGACAGCCCGCATGGGCAACCACGCCAGCGGGTAAAGCTGGGCCGCCGCCTGACCACAGCGACGTACATCAGGCAAACTGGAGCCGAAGCCCGAGCCGTCAGCATATGAGACAGGGGCCTGGGGACAAGGCATGCGGCCGCCGCGTCGGCGCCCGCGGCCGCATCACCAGCGGCGCTGCGAAGCCGACCCAGGCGCGCGGCAAGACGACCGCCGCGCAAGGCCTCGCCCGGCGCCAGCATCCCTCGCTCCGCCAGCCGCGAGTCCGAGTCAGCGGGGTTGCGAGCCGTCTCGACGTCGCGCCGCGCCCACTGCGCCTCGGCCCCCAGCTCGACCGCGGCGGCGATCGCCTCGCGCCTTTGCCAGGCGCCCACCAGCAGCCGCTGCCAGCGCCCCGGCGCCACCGTGCTGTCAGGCAGCGCGGGGGCGATGCCTGTCGCCCGGGGGCGCGGGGGCCCCGCCTCGACCGCCTTCGTCGCCTCGACGGGCGCCGGGTTGCTCGCCCGGGCCGCGCGTCGGGCAGGGCGATCGCCAGCGCTCGCGCCAAGCCAGCCGCTGTCCTCCACCTCTAGGTCGGCGCCTAGCCCGCGGAAGTCGGCAGCAAGCCCAGACTGATGAGCACCAGCGAGACCTGGCCCTTCCTCCCCCCCGGCGTCGGCGGAGAAGCGCCGGCGCCCCCGCCGCTTGCAGACGTCGCGCAGCTCGTGCTTGCCGATGACCCCGGCGTGGATCGCAAAGCCACCTGTCGAGGCGTCCGAGCAGAAGGCAGCGGTGCAGTGACGAAGCCGAACCCGGCTCCGAGCGAGAACAAGCAGGCGACGACGCGTGACCAACTCTCCACGCGCACATGGCTGTCAAAACGCCGGAAGCGGCCCAGGTTCTCAGAGCTGAACACAGACAGCTTCGAGAGAACACTGAGGGCCGGCCGCGCCAGCATGAAGATGTTCACCAGGTGACCCAGTACTATGCGCATGACTTCGCCTGCGCAGCCGGGCCGTGACTCCAGCTGCCGCAGCGAGCGCCGCGGCCGCCAGAATCGAAACCGCCGCTGTCGCCAGGAGAACTTAGCGCCCTGGAGCTCGAAGCCCACCATGTCCAGGTTCGGATCGCACTCGACGTTGTCCCGCAGGGTGAAGCCGCGCTCACACAGCACGGTGGCCATGGACTCGCAGAAGATGCCAGCATCCTCGCGGTCGCAGCAGAGCAAGTTGCCGTTGTCAACGCAAGGCGCGGCGTCGGGCCTGCCCTTGGCCAGCCGAGGCGCAGGTCGCCCATCGCGGAGCAGCTGGGCCCCCGCCAGCGCCCAGTCGCAACGCATCACGCGGACGAGCAACTCCACCATCGCGTCGGTGAGCACGGAATGGCAAATATACAGAGCCCACTTCCCCCCCATGGGCACGCCGCAGGAGCAGGGCCGCGCAGCATCCTCCGCCGCGACCGGCTACCAGGTTCCCTTCCCGTCGACGACGCCGAACACTTCGGAGACGCCCGCCTCCGCCGCGGCCGCGCGGCAGTCGATGCCGAACCAATCGCTCATCACTTTGAAGCGCGGCTGGTAGAAGCCGCCCTGGAGGTCGACCGCGGCGCCGCACAACTCCAGAGAAGGAGCGGCTCCTGGTTCCAAAGCCTCGTCGCTGAGGTCCAGGGCGAACGCGTCGCCAGGCGTCGCCAGGTAGGAGCGCGGCGGCCGCCCGTGCCAGTGGCTGGGGGCGCGGGCGTCCACGATGAGCCTCTGCCACCAACCGTCCTTCTTGACGACCGTGAAGATGCCGATGAAGGCCTTCACCGAACGCCTGAATACCGCGAGGCTGCCGCGGTGCAGCGTCATGATCAGCTCCTCCAACAGCCTTCGGCCCTGTCGAAGTCGCGGGTCGGTGTAGGGCCGCGGCGGGGGCGCGCCCGCCTCCACCTGCTCGGGGCGTCGTTCAATGCGCCGCCAAGGATCAGCCAGAAGTCGGTAGGCATCAACGCCGACGACGCCCAGCACCTCCTCAGGGACCGCATCGTTTTGCAATATCTTGGGCCGCTCCAGCTGGATCGGGACCCGGCCGGTAGCGTCGCTCGCCAGGCGCGCGTCAGTGCAGGTGGAGTGACGAGCAGTCGCGGCCTGGGGGGCGTGCGCGCCACGGGGGGGGGGCGCAGGCGGGGGGGAAAGGGGGGGCACGCGGTCCCAAGCCAAGCGGAAAAAGCGGGGCGGGGGCCGGGGGCGCACGCGGTGGGAGTGCGGGGACGGTTGCGTCGTGCTGCCGTAGGGCGAGGGGGTCAGGTCGGCGGCTAGTCAGCGCCGCGGGCGCTTTCTAGTCCAGGTGTCGTGGCGCCCGGAGCTGCGAGCATGGTCCTCTTCGCGCCCGTCACCCTGGTCTGCTCCTCGCGCCTCGCTGCAAGGGGGTACCTGGCGCCCCTTGCCCGCGCCTTCTCTGCGGCTCGGGAATCGCTGCTGCGACTGGGCCCAGTTGACGCCAAGGCTCAGCGCGTCGCTCATGGCCCTCACGTCGGAGTTGTGGTTGCCGAAAGAGTGCAGGAAACTGACGCAGGTTTGCTGGTCGTGTCGTCGCGGGTCGAGCGCGCCCTTGCCGTGCTGCTTGGCGAACGCGCGCCGGGCGCCTGTGAACGTCGCACCCAGGGTGGCTTGGAGCCGCTTTATCGTCTCGCCAGGGGTCTCCCCGGGGAGACTCCACTGGATGCCGCTGATCTTGGTTCTATACAACAGCTACTTGTTTTACTAAACGCACTTTTACATTGCTAGTGCTCCCCCTCTTGTGCCGTCCCTCTCGCTCTTGTCCTCGTCCTCGGCCTCGTCCGCCTCGGCTTCGCCGCCGCTCAAGTTTCGGCTCGAGGATTTCCAGCGAGATCTAAGAGCCTTCAGGATTTTTGGCACCGCAGTGCGAGAGGACAGCCCCTCTCGCGGGCCTGGGCGATCGCCGCGAAGTGGTGGTGGTACGGCGTGGCCGCGCTCGTCGGCTGGAACGCGGGTGGCCTCGCAGACGAGGGCCGTCCCCTGTGGGCGGCGGCGGAGGAGTTCGAGCCCTACGAGGAGGTCGACTACGAGCCGGCGGGCGACATTCTCGTGCACGGCACACGCGCATCCGCGCTGATGGCGCCGTGGAGCAGGTGGAACAGGATCTACTATAAGACAGGCCCGTCGCAGGGCGTGGTGGTGCTGCTAGTGTCACGGATCGGGAAGTCCAACAGCACGACGTGGACGGCTTGTGACCCCACGCTGCGCGTCCAGGTCATCAACGCACGGGACAAGGAGAGGATCT